ATTTCCTTCAATACCATTTGTTGAACAATATTCTATATGAAATCTGCAAAGGCATAGTATGCTTATGGCTTCACTCGTTGCGTGTGTTCTGCACTAATCTACTAACTACATTATATGAAGCCCTAGTACATCAACTATGTGCAAGCTATTGCATAACTGTTTTATTTAATTTTATACTCTGTTTTACAGTTTGTATGGTTGGTTTTCCAAGTGCTGTTGAAGCTGATGCTGATGGCTATGGACTTGGTGTCTTAAATAGCCGGAGCTGCTGATGGCAAGTCGTGTACAATCGACCGTAGGACATTGTGACTTATCACTGGTGTTATTTTTTTTAAATTTTTTATTTAAGTTTTATACAATTGCATAAGGAAGACTTAATGCTAACAGCATTCTCTGCCAGTCATTCTTTGGGTAGTGCAGAAATGTATGTGGTAGGTGGTAAGCTGCAAAAATGTTATGAGAGATAGTGGTAATTATCCAAATAAATAAATCATCATCAGGGTGCTTACTCTTGAAACCAATCTCAATGTCAATGCAATTTCAATCCAATAAAATCTCAATAATTATTCAATGTCAAAACTATACAACCCCTATCGTAGCTGTTACAATAGCATTCAGAGTACGGAATATAAAGCCAAACTTAATACAATTTAGTTCATTCAATATCCACGCAATACGGATGCAATGGGCGCTATAGTTGCAACTCAAGAGTACGAATTTTTACAATACCAATGTCGATCTATCGGGATTGGATTCAAGAGTAAGCCCCCAGGTGTTATCATTGTGTTTTAAATACTCAATTTTTGTTCGTCATAGTAAAGTTCAAAGTCATCGTTATGTATTATATTGTGAAGGAAACTAACGAAGTAATAATATAAGTTTATTGTATAAATCTCAGTAAATGCCAATAGTATGTAATTTATTAATTTTTTTCCTTGTGATAACTTATTTATAGGTTTCCTAGTAATACCATCTATGCGAAGAACCACAATGGAGTAATGTGTATAATTGTAAAATGGTATTAGGTACTTATGTAGCTTATTTTACGAGAATTTATTACCAAAAATAATATTCAATTCTAATTCTTCTATGGACTTGTAATATTTCTTGAAATTACGACATTTAGGAATTATAGTCTCCTTACTGTTTAATTGTAGGTATACAAACTTTGATCAGTTATTTGGGAGGAAACAACAAGAAGCCATTTTTAAATAATGTTGATATTTAAAAGACGTAAAGATCTAATTGATAATTACAAAACAAAAACGAATTAACAAGTAAAAGTAACGACTTATACCTTGCATCTCTGCTGTAATTATTACAAACATGACATTAATTAATTACGTATTATAAAATGAACCGCTATTGTTAACAAATTCACAGAGTTATAAATTAACTCTTCATACACAAGAAGTAGCTCTTTAATAAAATTAATGTTCAATTTTAAATCGGTGAAACATTATGAGGTATCAGTTTCGTTCGATGTCTCTCTTCTCTTTTCTTTTAGAAAACTATAACCATCATAGTAGCCATAGGGTTTTATAGCATTGCTAATCTCATTTTGGTATGGTAAAGAACTGCTCTCCATCAGGTTTAGGAGTGTGGGTGCCTTAGTGGCATTATATATCGTTATTACGTTTTCGTCTTGCGGCAAAACAACTTGCTATAAGGAGTAGGTACTTATGTATGAAGTACTTATGTAAAAAAATATAGATGTCATTTATTTATTTATTGGTTAAAATAATGTTTCGCACATGAGACACGAACTAGATGTAGGTAAACTTGTTTTGTTTTAAATTTTTATTAATTAACTCGTCGAGTAGTTTTATAGACATAATTAAAGAACAATAGGTCGCGGTCACCGGTGACCGCTTGGTGTTTGACAGTTTAAACATTTTATTTCTTTATAAAACTATTGTATTACCAAGACAGAACCATTTTACTTCGGGACGAAAACGATTTATTATGTAGTTAAATTTCACAGTGTATGAATCAACCAGTCTTGGATTTATCCTGGTTCGACGACAGTGGAAAATTTGTATAAGTGGTGCCTTGTGTATAGGTATCTCCAGCTATGACTATGTTTTTTCTTTCTTTTAAATCAGTTAGGGTTTTCTGCCTACATTATGGAAGTTAGTAATGATAATGTTCGGATGTAAGGCATAGACAGTTTATCGGACAACCGTTCCGTGACCGGGTTCATGCCGCTACGGTAGTACGGCTTCCTGTCCGACTGTCGATCACACACTTAACGTAATACGGTCACTGTTAATCCATTTTTGGATTAAATAGGTTCATGTTTATACATTGGTAGGTTACTGTAAATACGGTTTATGCAATAGACTTAGATGTTCGTTACCTCGTTAAATGTATGTATGTATGTATCGATGAGAAAATTGTTTAATGAAATATTGCAAGAAAATGTTGACGATTTTATGTTATTCTTTACTTGATAAAATTACCTACAGAAACAATCTTCTCTAAATAACACTCTCAAAAAAGAGAGTCTAATTTATTAATTAAAGATTGGTGACTGTTGAATAATCGATAGCTACAATAAATCTTAAAATTTGACAAAACGGAAGTAGATACATAAATAAATCTTAAAATGTAAAACACTTTCAAAATATCGGACACTTTGTGAAGTTTTTTGATAAGCACTACATTAAAATCTGGTTATTATAATTTATTATGACAAGTGATTATATTGTTATGTCATTATGATAATGAACACTTAATTATTAGGATGTTATTGGGTTAGCCGTTACGTTACGCAATGCCGATAGGGGGCGCTAATAGAGAAGAGCTCGTTAATAGTACTAAATAGATGCAAATATTATGCAAATCGTAAATCGTAATAGTTCGGATCCGCCTTTCGTGTTTATGATATAGTTTTTCCATTCCGGTTTTGTAAAAGAATGTGATTAAATAAATACGAGTCGCTGTAATAACACTTACCATAAATGTGTAAATAAACGTTGATGATAATCGAAACCAATAGACAATACCTAATCATGATTCACACAATTCACAATAATCATTGACCAGGAATCATTCTAATCTTTAGAATGCATGACGATTTTCTATAGCCATTGTTTGTTACGGAACGGAACTGAAAGATATAGGTACGTAGATACAATTAAATGTTATAAAAATAAATACGAAGGTGTTTTTGTTCACGTCGCATGGAGCGTTGTTATTGTTTGGATGAGGTAATTAGGAAATCTGGAGTGTACCTACTAATGGCTTTTTATCCTTTGATCTCTAACCTGGTTGCGATTTCCAGGCTAACAAACTTACTCAAGCACGGCTACTTTGAACAACTAATCATGACAATGATAATGATTTTGAAAATGAAATATGGGCTTAAAGTGAAATTAGTAAAGTTGAGAACACAGAAATATTTTATTATATCTATGGTTGAGAAGCATAACAAACAAAATTCACCTCATCACAACCAGTTACCGAGCTTTTGTTTAACTTATTATTGTGACGTTCCAATTAAATGAATCTACGCAACGGTTTTACCAATAAACATTTGACATGAATTCCCATTTTTCTATTTTTTTCCTGGATATCTAACTCGTACAATACCCGAGTAAACTTGCTACAAGTTACCAACAAACAAAGTTAATGACTCACTTTATAAAACTTAATGACGCACTGGGTCAACAAAAAGTTGACGATAAGTTTTTACCGCGCTAAGCAGACACTTGTAACTAAGTATTGGTGTTGAATAGGTGAAAAAGTACTTATAGGTGTAGTTAAACCTACTTTATTTTGTGTTAAAATGTATAAAAACATTATTTGGATAACTTAATGACGTATTTGAAGGAGCACGTTCAATCTAATAATATCTAAGTTATATGTAAGGCAAGTGATATAAAGTTACAGGACCTACTTTCAAAGATAGGTACCAACTACTTAAGAATTTATTAAATTAACTTATTAACTCGTCGAGTACCGGTTTTATAGACACAATTAAAGAACAATAGGCCGCGGTCACCGGTGACCGCTTGGTGTTTGACAGATTAAGCAAAAAATGTAGATATGTATACTTAATTGATGGTTGGTCGAAAATAGGATAAGGTTGATACTAAGTATTTAAAACTCTACGGAAAAGTGGAAATCTAAAACATAACTTTATCGGAGATACGTAAGACTTAGTTTGTAGATACATATTTAAATTGTTTTTACTATCATTAGTAATTGTAAGGGAGGGTATGTAGTATTTATTTAACGCTGCACTTGCAAAGAATCGAACATATAGTTTTTACTAATGTGTTAGAGCATTTTATTCATCTCATTATTTAATTGAAGACTAGTGTAAACACGAGTTTCTATCTAATAGGTATAGAATTTATGGAATTTTATTACTTACCTCCAAGTTTTCAATAATTATTCAAACACGTAAATCACAATAAATCCAGTTCAATTATCACACAAAAACTGTTTATTCATTACATAAACAAAACAATATTCACAAATTTCTCTCGTACAATAACTAATTCACACTGTTTTGTTTCAAGTTATAATGCACTAGCGCGGGAATGTTAGCAACTTAACATTTTTCGCGGCGCATTGTCGTGATCGTGCGCTACTGTCGTACATTCCGCACGACTCCACTCCAACAATTACGTTCGTCGAATACAAAACAAGCTTGGCGCGGCACTCTGCTATGCGTGATGGATTGGTTGACTCACCCACTGTGGACGTGTGGCTTGATGGTGCGTATTAGTAGTTTTAGCGCCATCTAGTGGCTAATATGCGTAAATAATTACCTACACGCCATCTAGTGGTAAACATTTACAACTTTTATTTCAGCTACCAGCCACCAGGTGGCGGGGCAGTTTCATTATGTTCGACGAGAATGTCATCTTTCTGGTTTTTGGAAGTACCCGTTACTTTAGCAGCACTACTCTAGTCTTTCATTCTCATTCATTCATTCACCTAGTTGATAGACTATTGATCGTTCATTCTATCAGTCTTTCTCTGTCAAAATGGCTGCCCCCCAAGAGGTGCGTGACGATTTGCGCTCTGTAATAATTTTGTTTTACTTATATTTTCTTTACCAAAACTGTCCAAATTGATTTGATTCTCATTATTGTTTTATGTGTTTTTCAGGCGCGTCGTGAACCTATCCAGGCCGTCCAAGTATTTGGTCGCAAGGTTAGTGTTTCCTCCATCCACGTGTTTGTGCCGATTTCTAAGTGATAATTTTAGTTTCTTTGTGTATATTTTCGTATATAAATGGTTTAAAAGTGTTAAAATGAGTGTAAAATGATTAAAACATGTGTTCTACATGTCATTGTTACTACGAGAAGTGTGTTCAAGTAAATTTTAACATGATGCATCACCAAATGTTTCACGGCATTGGCGGTGCTTGAGATTGATAACTTTTATAGATCGTGTGTTTTAACAGTGCTATCAATATCATTTTACTTTTGATCTTTTATATTTTCAATGCTGCATTCGGTTCAGTGTTCACTTTATGTTTATTGTATGGAACATAACCTCAAAAAACATCATAACGGCCAAAAGTAAGAATAGTGATTTTTAAGACTTGAGGGCTGGTTTTAATAAGATTGTTGTTTTCAGAAAACCGCCACGGCAGTGGCTTATTGTAAGCGTGGACATGGAGTGTTGCGCGTAAACGGTCGCCCCCTAGACCTGGTGGAGCCCCGCCTGCTGCAATACAAACTGCAGGAGCCCATCCTACTGCTCGGCAAGGTTTGTACATATTACATACATGTTTACCCTATTTCAGAGCCTAAAAGCCTTCTTTTAGGCTCTGAAATAGTAAATAACAACTGGAAATACTAAATCATAATCCTTATTATGATTTAGTATTTCCAGTTGTCATCAGCTGTGTGGTATTTTTTATCTAACATGTTTATTTCATTGCATTTATTTGTTGTCAAAATAAAATAGCAATTGTTTTAGGATTTATATAACAACAGTTTGGAAGACCAAACTTTCTCTGATTATTAATATTATTCTGTCTCGATTTGACTCAGTAACATGTATATTTCACATTTTTTTGTTTAACTCATGTTATTATGAACTTATTTATGATTGTAGTCAATCTTATGTTCTTCGCTACTAGATAAAACCACATAGGTAATTATTGTGAATTGTAAACATTTTTGTTGCCATTAGTAAATCTTGTGAATATTTTGTAAATAAGGTTTGAACCAACACTAAATTGAATTGTTAGGAATAATGTGATAATTTTTACTTCAGAAACTTATGTAGACTTGTTGAGTGATGAGTACCGAATTATTTTTTTTAATAAAACAATTGTTTTAGTAACAAGTTTGTTAACCACATTGCCAGAACATAGATCTATACTAGTTTTTGAACTATTGCATTTATTGTTAATGTTTGTGTAAGTTCATATTTATCTTCAAGTTATTTATTTGAATTTAATGCTTTGCCATCTGTTTGAAGGACTTCAAAAGTATGGCTAGTTTTGTGCAAAAATTTCAATGATGAATATCACTTATTCCGAACCTGAGCATCTTTGGATGTGAAGTAAAAAAAGGATCTGACTACTGTCCAACACAAATTACTATTGAACTTATTAAATTACCACAAGTACTAATGAAATGTATTTGTTTTTTCAGGAGAAATTCTCCGGAGTCGACATCAGAGTAACCGTCAAGGGTGGTGGTCATGTAGCCCAGGTATACGCAATCAGACAGGCTATCTCCAAGGCACTTATTGCCTTCTACCAGAAATGTAAGTATTACAGTCATAATCACAATTTATTACTATATTTCTGTCTTAAGGTGGCAATATGAATAGGTGTCTTGTTATACCCCACTTTTTTATTATTTTGTTGTTTCTCTATCAAACTGATGTTAAAAGCTTATGTACTCTAAAAACTATAAAATACGCAACTTTATGGCTGTTAAATTCCAGTCGACTTAAATTAATTTTTAATATTTCATTTTTAAAAATATTCTTGATAATAAATAAGTTATTACCCCTTCTTCCAAAGCTGTGTTGTTCCCATACAACTCAGTCATTTCAGGGAGGGCAGAACAATGTGACATTTACCAAGCAGCAATGTATTTCAATAACTTGCTAGTTTGAAATGTACACTACATTTATTATTTCTAAAAACCACCAGTACAATGTTGTTATAAAAGACATTTTTAGTAATAAGTTGTTATTATTTTGTTTACAGATGTAGACGAGGCCTCAAAGAAGGAAATCAAAGACATCCTCGTCCAGTACGATAGGAGTTTGCTGGTGGCGGATCCCCGTCGCTGCGAGCCCAAGAAGTTCGGTGGTCCAGGTGCCCGCGCCCGCTACCAGAAATCTTACCGTTAATACCATCTTTGGTACTGCGGAATGGTATCACATTGCTGTGGTTCCTGGAGTGCGATACCATTGCGTCTTTATAAAAATAAAAAAAAATATAAAAAGTTTTTCTTTTGTTTTAATTTTGATTTGAATATTCCTAACCTCAAACTTATCTAGAAAGGCTCATTGACAGCTTCGGGAAGCAACCTCTCCTTTTTCGATTGTATTTTTGGAATAAGTTATGGCCATATCAATATAGAACAAAGTGAAATTACTCCTATTTATTTCTTCAAAATCAGAGCACGAAGTCGCTTCTCTGCTTTACTGGATGCGCACACGCAGGTGATCGTGTGACACCACCAGTGTTAAAAAGAAAACCATTAACAAAAATTACTGCTTGCAACGCTACGAAAGTGTAAATTACAGTTCAGATATTTTGTTGGTACATTTATATTATTATCTCAACTTGAAAATGCGAGTCGGTTAAACATAGTTTAATTGCAGACATTTCTGTACTAAGCTTTGCCAAACCGAATACCTAATAGCCATTGGCTATACTCTTGTCAATGAGTTATAGATCTAACCTGGTAACCAGTTGGACAAAAACAAATACCTACGTAACTTTGTCTTTTATATGTAGACATTTCATTTTATTGAAGACATTTTATTGAAGACATTTCTGGACTAAGCTTTGCCAAACCGAATACCTAATTAGCCAGTGGCTATCCCCTTGTCAATGAGTTCTTAGATCTACCCTGGTAACCAACATAACATAAAACAGGTACCTACCTGTTTTTGTTGAAACTGTTCAGTCGTATGTACCTACATACGACTGAACAGTTTCAACAAAAATTCATTATGTTTGTTTCGAAGTACTGCAGGACTTCATAACATAGACAGGAGGACTTAAAGGGTTGCTGGGGTGCTCGCCGTATATAGTATAAGTGTATAAAAAGTGGGTGTAGGAAATTTCAAGAAATCAATGAATTGTACTCTACTTTCTATAAGTACCAGTAAATCTTTGACGAACTAAGGTAACTTATATCGACAAAGGTGGGTAAGTACATAATCGTATATATCGTAAAGGGGGCTTTATTTATGCTCACTAGATGACGCTAATCTAAAAAGTTTGACCAATCACTTTAGCTGTCATAAATTGAACGTGCAATGATGTGACACTAGTTAATTCAATTGGACAAAGAAGTTTTCATTACTCATTAATGTCATCCGATGAGTAAAAATACCGAACCTACTTTCCATTTACCTACAAGTGTCATGGCATTTAACAATATTTTCTACCCGCTATATACCTAATACATGTCTTATTGTGTTGTGAAGTCATAAAAATTTCGCATTTCCCTCTCAGATAAGGGAACTTCTTGGGTCATGGTATGATGTGTGATCTATTTGGCAGTTTTCTTTACTTGCCCTCAAACTAAAACTGCCCTTGTGTCATAGGAAATAGAAACACTTTCAAATTCCCTCATAGAGATCACACCCAGTTCGTGAACAATAATTTGTGGATCACATGTACATACAAATAGTGCCGTACGGGACTTTAACCCACGAAACGTTGCTCTTTTTATAATTATGGGACTTTCATATTCTGTGCTGTATGATTTTTTTTAACGCGATGGATCCTCATGCATGAAATCATGGAAATCCTTATGGAGTAGCGGACTCTTACCGGCTAAAATCACCACAGTGTTCCTTTACTGCCTGTGACCGTGACCTGGGTTGCCCTTATGGAATCCTCCTACCACCTCGACCTACCGCTATGTGTGCGTCAGGTCCTGTCACGTTAGCGGCCCTGGGAAGATGCTTCCCTTCTTCGACTGTGCTTAGCTTATTATTATTGTGGTTTCTTTTTATTCTTTAGTTAGGCTAGGGTTCGAAGAAAAATAAAAAATCAGATGCAACAAGAAATATTTATTTATTTTCAACTCAAAATTTCGTTCACAATCCAATGTCTTTAATAATAGTCATTTATTTGGAACATTAAATGCAATACATAAAGTGTACGACTTACATTTTATTAAATGTTTTGGTAGCATTTCAACTGTCAAAGTGACATAAATTTAAATATGGCTGACAAATTAAATATGGCGGAAACCGTTAGATCTAATGGAGAGATTGAAATTAATTAATACTTATTTAAAATTAGCACAAACCTTATAACTAATGTTAGAAGTTAATGTCTTTCATTATTTACTTACATAAATATATTTTTTAATTATTTTCTAGGCATCTCAAAGCACAGAGGAGGCCCTCTTATTTTTCGAAATTTGTGCAAGTTATTTTAGTCTTAATCACTTAAAATACTAACTCGTGTATACTTCTGATATACAGATCTCAATGAGATTATTAGAATACATTTATTATAATTATTATTTTATTATGTATAGGCACTGCATTTACCTAGTGTTACCAGTTAGTACATATTTTGGCACCATTTTAGTCATGAAAAACTAGTTTTCTGCCTCTAATAGCTTCAAAAACTTATTACCTAGGTACAAAGTACAATAATAATATTACTTTTAGGCTGTACCCACGTCAGACTTCTAATAAACTCCAAACTCCAAAAAAGGTCTAAGTCTCAAAGTCGTTTAAATCTTTGAACGATTTTAGTATACGTGGGCCTTCCATTAGCCTTGTACATTAGACCTTTGTTTCGTTGTATAAAAAACATTCAAATGTTTGCTTAATACAAAATTTTAAGTACATCGTAAAGAGCCAAAACAAACAATGACTTATTAATACTGAATTTTGTTTAATTAATAATACTATAAATTGACAATTGTCATTTTATTAAATAGTTGTTTAAAAGATTTTTTTATTTTATCGAAATATTGAATAACGTGACATTAAGGCTATAGATAATATTTATTATGCATAGTAATGTTTATTTTGCTATTTATTTTTTAAAACTAAAACAACATTGAACTCTAGCGCGTCAACAAGTGCTTATTTAAAAAAAAAAACAACAGATTAAAAATTAACGGAAATAATCAAGTAACGGAATAAAAACTGGCATGATTATTGATTTCAAATTATTAACAAAATAAAATATCTAATAATAATTATTATACACCAAGATCAATAAAAATTATGATAATAAAATTATTATGAAAGATTATTATACTCATGTGCGTATTTTGCAAAATATGTGCGATTCTTTCCCAAAATATCTAGCTAAACTTTAGTCAAAGAGCGGGCAGTGTTTGGTCGAGTATGTTAAACGGAGCCTCTGACGCATTGTAAAAGAAGGTAAAAAATTACGTCCGTCATTAGTGTTAGTAATAAGAAATAGAAAAGAGTAGGATAAAGCCAAGGATACACTAAGGGACAAACAAATGTCATGCGACACGTGGCGCCAGCGACGTCGGGTGAAGTAGCGCGATGTTGCCGGATTTTAGTCGAGATGTTTGGCAACATCTACATCACTGTGGGCATAAGTTGCGCGTTATCACCGTATATGTCAGGCGACATCGGCCGGCTTCGCTCGACATGTCACCGATACATGTCCTGAGCCTGAGACATTTGTCTCCTAGTGTGTCCTCGGCTTAATAATAGTACATACAGGAATAGTGTGGTATAAACTAGGTAGGTATATCTAGGTATTAGGCCGTTTTATTTGCACCTAAAATAAAGAAAAGTAGGCAATTGAAGGGTCTAGTCGTGGTGGCTCTGAGGTCTAAGATGGCGCAGGTTCGAAACCTACCAACCGCAAGTACCAATGTGACTTTTTCCGAGTTATATGTATTTTCTAAGATTATTTAGACATCATTGACAGACGGTGAAGGAAAACATCGTGGGGAAACCTGGGCTTATAATTTCTAATTATAAGTTTGAAATCGCCAACCCGCATTGAGCAAGCGTGGATTAATGTTCAAGCCTTCTCCGTGTGAGAAGAGGCCTTTGGTCAGCAGTGGCTACGTATAGGCTGTTGATGTGAGGTAAGGGAAAAACATCTTTGTAAATATAGATAAAAATTGATTATAGAAAGACTTGATACTATGGATCAACGTACAGTGGTCAGTACATCAACCTACTCTAATATTAAGTAAAAACGCGGGTTACTCACGTGAATATACTGAGAAAAGCTCTACTAGTTTCGAACCACAGAGGGGTTCTTCCTCATGAGCAGCTTGCGCGGTCGCGGCGACGTCGCGTCAGTGAGCTGCGCTGCGTGAGTAACCCGCGTTTTTACTTAATTTAGTACTACTCTAATATGTCAATTGTTGTCATTGTATTTTCGACTGTATAAATAAACGATAGTATTGAAAATGTAATAAAGAAAAACAGGAAGGGGTAGGTTGTCTTATTGCCCACGGTATTTAGACGTTAATCTGTAGACGCATAGTACTAAAGTTGTGTTTGTGTTTGTAACCCACAACGGCTTTAAAGTTACGTTGTAGACGAGTCATAAATATGTCAAGGCACAAAACAACGCCTTTTACAGATACAACACTGCCCAATCAATATCTAACAAACTAAAAAAACTACACAATTAAAATTAATTCTCTCCATTTTTCTCTTCGATTTTTTCATCATGGTGGTCTTCGAATTTGGCGCCCATTCTTTTGAGTGCGATGACAGCTGACACTGCTTTAGCCCAACGCTTTTTGATCACGTACCTTTTAAGTTTCGATTTGGTGACGTGCAGTTCTGTGCAAAGCGCTGATTGGATGAGCCAAGGATGCGTTAGAGTTGATGACGCTGATAGTCGGTCGCTGTGGAAAGTTAAATGTTGGGATAGTGATTTCAATAAAATAATAAGATTCACAGATTATATAGTTTCCGTATTTGTGTCTTACAGGAACGCTTGACAAGTTTCGAGGGCGTCCGGGTCCCTCGGAAGCTGCGAATGCAGGGACTTTGCGCTGCATTAGATTAGCATCTAGCCGAAAATGTTGTTTTTAACGCCTAACCCATACCCAACTTGGACTGCAGACTTTCTTACTAGATTGTGTGGCGTAGTATTTTTCAAGGGTTCATTTCTACCGCAATGCTGAAATGTAATCTTGAATAACCAAGTTGAAACAACCACATAGGACTTGGTTCGGCCCAAATAGCTCAGATGGAAATGCTTACATTCGGCTCGCCTCGCCTTTAGACCATAAATAAAACATCAAAAATTTTAATAAAGCCTTATATTTTAACAACATACGTATCGTAATAACAATAAATTATAATTAAGTTATACATAAGTACAGAGTAAGGAACAATCATAATTTAAGTGTATTATTACCACCTACTTTATAAAAAATGTCTTATTTACAGATTAAAAAAGTTTTAAATTACCAAAACGTGATCAATAAGTATCTCGACGTAATTCGCTCTCAGTCTTGAGTCTAAAAATCTGTATTTAATTACAAAATTTCGAAGACTAGATAGTTTCCCTTTTTATTATTTGTCATTTTAATTTAAAATCGCCTTTTTAAGACTTAGCGCATACATATAAACGAATTTTCTTAGTACTTTGTACCCTTTAAAAACCATAAAATAAAATAGACGTTATTTCTGAAGTTTTTTTGGATGATATTAATTTTTCTAAGCTCACATATAAATCTTCAGAATAAAAATATATTGGATATTATTAAGAATTAATCACTCAAATGACCGGTTGTAATTTTAACTTCAAAAATTGGTCATAGACTAGCAATTTGATTTTTCAGTTTATGACTAAGGGTGTTATCACACTGCCTTTTAGAAATGTTGACGAATATTAGCAAAAATGTTCGAAAATCAAATCATCAGAAGAAAAGAAAGAAAAAATTTGTTAACATTTTTAAAAGCCAGTGTATAAACATAACATTCATCCTATCTATGAAAAGCTGCCACGATAAGATTTTTTCAACGACTAGTCTTATTTTGTACGTATGATATTTACGTACATAAGTTATGTTTAAGAGTGTATGCTTACTTCGTCATTCAACCACAATAGGCACTTACTAACCGTCTTACTTGTATTCATTAGCTTTCAAATACAATGGGGACTACCGTGGCGTTAATGAAGCCTATGATAATCCTCCACTCATTTTAGCTGCCAATAATTTACGGACCAATGGCTGAACAGCTGCAAATAGTCCATTGGACAAGATCTTATGCTAAACTAGCGGTTCCGGTAGCGCGTTACCCCTTATTGGCTGATGACTGGTTTAAGGACCCTAAATATTTTTGTATAAGAACAAGGTTCATGTATATGCGCTAGGCTTATAATATAAGAACATAAACTAATCTCATACCGTACTTTGGTAACATAGTGTCATGGCACTTTAGTCTCACAACTTCAATCATTTCGCTACATTAGTCGTCACTTTCTTCCTTTGCGTCTTCTCATCTGAAGTCTGTCTTTGAAAGAATGCGTGAAGGCTTGACATGGACGTTTGACCCAACTGGTTAGAGGGAGACCACTCAAGGGATATTGACTGATGTCTGCCTCCGTTTGAAGTGCCCCCAGCTGACCTCTCTGCCTCCACCTCCTCAGACTCTCCCCATTTCTCCAAAAGATGTAAAAGAAGATCTTTCGTCCGATGCGCATTGTTCTCATCTCCTCTTCTGTAAGGCATTTGTCTACCATTATCTGAACCATTCACTAATTTGTCTATCTTCTCTCGTCTCCTGTCGAACTCCTGGAAGAAACTGTTCCGCACGTCTACTGGTTGGTCCGGCACGTCTCTGCTCATGTTTGTCACTCGTTTCGGTCTGCTTGTTTTCACCCAGGGCATTTTACTTGTCATTGGTTTCTCTGGTTCCCTCTCTGTTAAGAATGTCGATGATATTTTTGTCGTTGACTTTGAAGTGAACAGTTTCTTTTCCTTACCTGACGCGTCGCCGTTCGTAACAGTCTTCGTATACCTTGTTTCTTTCTTAAAACCATTTGGTAGTTTCTCCTCTTTGACTGACTTTGTTTCTGTGATGTTTTTGTCTAGTTCCTTCATACTGTTGTTGTTTGCGAGATCAGTGTTCATTGTGGACAACATATACAAGTGGTCAGACAGTTTCTTTATTTCTTCTGCTAAGTTTTTCCTAACGAGTACGTCCTGCTTTTTGTGCAGGAAGCAAGTGCTGTCAGAGGCTCGCCTTTCTACAGGATTGTATTTGGGTGCAGATAGGAAATTGTGTTCTCTTAGCGGTGGTGGTTCCAAGTCGTCTTCATCAAACACTACATCAGGGGAGCTGCTCAGGGAACTTCTAGGAGAAGGCGAGCATCCTCCTATAGAGGATCTCTCACAGTTTCCGTTTGTTAGGCTTGTGATTTCATGCGCTTGGTTATCGAATACGTATGGTGAGTTAGGGTGTTCACTCCATCGCTCTACGAAGAGTCGCAGGTTGTCCTTGGCGACGTCGAGAGCGTTCTTAGGTTCAGGCACAGGAGTGCGCGGTGCGGGGTGCGGTGTGGGGAGCTGTCCGTTGTGCGCGGCGTGCGGGGGCGGCGCGCGTCGCTGCAGCCACGCGTGCCGGAGGCACTCGGTGGCGCTGGGCCGCGACCTGCGACAAAGACCCTTGTTACTAGCGCCCAACACCGACACAACAGTTACAGGACGGGATGGAGTCACTACCGCTACTGGGGACTTAGTGGTTGGTAGGACCCAGGTTTGACAAAAAGGATGTAAGAGGAAATGCGTGCATGTGTGGAAGGAGTATAGGAAGGATTAATAGATTAGCTTGTGTGGGATAGTTTGTGCCAGATCTTGGGCCAAATTTGAGGGAAGGAACAGTTACTGGTGATCTACTTATACATTCTAATCTACATCTACTTAACTAGTATGTACAGGTTAGAGAATTAATGTTATAGTTAGAGCATTCTACTACTTCGTGCAAGGTTTTATGTAGTGTTAGTTACTAGTGTTGGATCAAACGAGTAACAAGGGGTCTTTATCGTCAGGCTGGCATGTACACAGCTTTAGAATAACCGCGAGACTGAGATCATACCGGAGTTGAAAGGTTGCGAGGATATATCAGGTTTTCATCGGTTTTATCACGCTTTGCGAACTAAGGTTCTTAAAGAAGTAGGTAATCAAATTCTTTATTTGTACAGACAGGCTTATTTTTAGGGAGAACTTTTTGCAAAAACTCTTTTTGCGCCCATTGTGAACTTTAAGAAAAGAGGACTTTGGGAAGATCTAGCAAATGAAGATTTTTTGCAAAGAGTTCATAGCATAAAGGGCCTATCGCCCTTGAAATCACAACAAGAAGGTAATGTATCAGGCAGAACTTACTCTTTGTCCTTGACGAGCAACTTCTGGATGAAGTCCTTGGCGTCTTCCGAGATCTCGTTGAAAGCTTCATCGTCGAAATCGTATTTAGCGACGGTGACGTTAGCCATTGTCTCTATGTCTGTCTCGCCCATGAATGGTGAAAGACCTGATAGGCTGAAAAGAGATGGATATATTTTTATTGTTGCTGCTTTAATTTTTATATACCTAAGGTAACGTTTATTGGCATAGGTCAGGCACAATTAGAAACGAAAAAGCGTGTAGTGAACTTGAAATATCTTGTTCGTCGAATTTTCAATATCCTAAGCCACAAGATACATAGTATGAGAAACCTTAAACACTATAAAATATGGTAGACACATATTACCTAATTTAGGAAGGTGCGTATTACACATAAGGATATAAATACGTCTTCTTTACTTAGAAATCTTATGCAATGAAGTTAAAAATAGAATTGATCGAATTACTATATTAAGTAGTATCATGCCTTTAATTCCCCGAAACGGATTGAGAATGAGGTACCTACATACATATAATATTAACAACACAACGTAGTAACACCCACTTTTCTATAGTTACGATATGAGTCTCATGTAATAGAGAACGAGCCTACATACACAGGACACCATTAATATCTGTAATCGAAAATCCGAGTAAGGTATCCATTCGGATAGAGTAAAGCAATTTTGAGAAATTCTCAGGATTAACAGCATGGATGCTGCGATTATCACAACAGAATAATATTAGAATCATATTAGAACTGTCGAAGAATGGATGTCCACTTGTCCCTACTACCTCGCAGAAAAAGGGCGTCAAGACATTAAAAAAATCAACTTACAGAACATAACAGATGACTCCAACCGACCACATATCGGTTCCATAGCCAATCTGGTCGAAGTTCACAACCTCTGGTGCCACAAACTCAGGGGTGCCGAACAGTACTTGAAGTTTCTTCTCCGGGTCGTAGAACCTGGCTAGGCCGAAGTCTATGATCTTGATGCGGTTGCCCTGCTTTGTTAGACAGAGGATGTTTTCTGGCTGAAAAGATAAAAGATGAATTTTAGTATTTCAAAGTCTGTATTTCCTAAAGGGTATAACCTAGGAGCCCTCAAGGCCCGAGTGAATAGGTTGCTTATGGGACGACGTGCTCCATCGTAGACCGCATCATCGCTTACCACCAGGCGAGATAGTGGTCAAATGTCGACCCATAAAATATAAAAAAAAAATTGCCGGCGGTAACAAGTGGAACATACTAAGTACTGTTGTATCGAGTGAAAAGAGATTATTAGGTAAATTAAACTTCATGATGTGTAAAGGGCAAGTTCATGACCCTTATCTATCAAACTAAGTATGTTAAGTACCAAACTAATTAATTATACTAAACTTATTGAAGTTCAATGTTATATCTGCCTGTAAGCCATGTAAATAGCGGGTAATCTATCAACTATTTCCATCAACATTTGCTTACATAACTCCAGCATGTACTTAAACATGGCAATTGACTTAAACGGCAAAATAAAGCACAAAACAGTCATCGAACGGCCGTAAATTACCAAAGAGTTTTTAGTCAAATATAAACGCTCACAGTATTTCTGCAACGTTTCCGACAGATGACAGAAATACACATTCGAAATTCAAAAGCGACATCTTCAAATAAACTGGCTTGTAATCATAAAAGTCGCGCGCTTTTTTCCGCCATTTTGATTTATTAGTTGGAACCGGACCAAAATGGCGGGACCGCAACAGCAACAGCTGAACAATGTAATCGTTTCTTTATTTACTTTATTATTTGTACAAACGGAATTACGTCTGTATTTTATTGTTCAAGTCAAGGGTGAAGCGATTTTGCATTTTTTCGATATTTTAGTATTGTGTTTTTGTAGTAAATTACACCAAACCGATTTACTTAATCTTTCAAACTGTCTTCCTGTTCATCACGTTATTTTAGCACTAAACATTATCAATTCAAGAACATTAATTACGTACTTCAGTATGCATTTAATTTACAACCTACATTCTTACATTAGCTAGGAAATTATCGACTGGCATCTATGACTCGACCATACCTTCATATCCAGATGCAGGATATTCTGCCGATGCACGAACTCGATGCCTTCGCATATCTGTCGCATGAACACGGTGCATGCTCGCTCTGTCAGCACGAAGTCCTCATCAATGACACGCTCAAACAACTCACCGCCTGTTATGCTGAAATAATAAAGAACAGAAGGTTTTAAATACATGACGAAACAAAAGTGTATGTATAAAACGATAGGGATCATTAGACTGATGAAGATATAATTAGCAGATATTAAATTATACAGATCGTATTATTTATTAGGTAAGTTTCGTATCTTAGTTTCTTGCAAATAAGACAACGTAAACAAGTCCAAAGTTTATAGAATTTACTGCGTATCCACAAAGACATTAAGCATCAAAATCCTGTGTAACAAACAGAAACCCACCTACGTAATTCCAAGGCAACTCTGGAATCGGTGTGAACATAATTACGACTTTATGGATGGACAAACAAAACGCCCGGTATTGCAGCTATTAGCTGGCGTTGAAAACCTCGTAAAACGGTTACAAATTTTTGTTTGTAGTACAGAGCACAGGGTGATGTCTGAATTTGTATTTTTTTTATGGGAGAAGATTGGCAACCGAATACCTAATGGAGTTCCTGTAATCCCAGATCTACAACGATAAGCACTGAAATAATGTAGTCCGAAGCATTTGCAGAAGAAAAGAAGAAATAATTTTGAATAAGTTTAATCAGGATTAAAGCCGAAGTAAGAGTAGCCGAAAGCACACCTAATTTCATTTAGATACAACAATAATACAACAATTGGAAATTTAAGCGTTCAATGGACTGCTAGATCGGTACAAAAAATAAAATAACATCAAGAAGGATACCCACTTCAAAAGATATATCTACTAGTGTACCTGTTTTAAGACCAATCAAAAATATCGTCTACCACACAAGAGGTCAATTAGTCATTTCAAATACATCTGACTCATCTGGACCTCTCCCAATTCGCTGACACCGCGTTCCGCGTTCCGCATTGCAAAAGTTCAAAGATAGTTCTTCCAAATTAGTCCTTCATTACTTAGAATGCACATTGAGTGCACTCTATGTATGGAAACTGCATGTTTATGCACTATCAATACAAAGTGCATGTTATCACAAGGCCGGAATGACCGACGGCTAAGGTACAGAATTCGAGCTATGTGTGACTCAAAATTGATTGCAAATGAAACACGATCGGGAAAAATGGTCAGTACAAAACTTTGCACGGTTCCCCCAAGTTCAAAAGAGTGGACAAAAGCGTTCGTGACTAGAATATTCAGTTTTTACTAGTGATGACATTAGTTCCATGTAATCGGGTGGTCTCTATTATTGTCAAACGTTAGTGGCATGTGTTCAGAAAATACGCGTCCTTTCTGTAATTTAATCATCAAAGAAGACTCAACAGTTTTGATGTTCCGTAACGACCAAAATGAGATAATGAGATAAACCAACTACAGATAAATAAATATATAATTCTAACGCGTAGGTATGTATTTATCAAAAACTGTCTCACCAAAACAGATGTTACTACAAAAATACGTTGTTTTTATTATTTTGAGAACCTATACTGATTGCTCGGCTGAGCCGTGCTTTGGGCAAGGTTGCCAAAAAAATAAGATGATCGAAATTAGCATCGACGTGTGCGTTGGCGCCAAAATAAACTTAAATAGAGGCGTTGAAGGTTGATGTCAGGCCGTTTATTTTGTGTTTATCGACGTACTGGATTTAAATTGTTATATGTTACTGAGGAGGATAGATTATGGAGATATTTATACCCCTTATCTTCGAATTAAAACAAGATTTTAAGACTAAAAGGCTCACAGCCGGCAATGCCGTCCTGGCGGTCGTCAACACTGGTCAGAAGACAATCATTATCTCTTTTTTGGGAGACATGTCTGAATCCCAAAACATTTCGAACTGAGAATGACCATTAAATCGCCCTAAGCTGCCTTAATGCATTCTTGAAACGGCATTCCTGAACCAAAAACCAGTCTGTAATCTTGCTTTACCGAGTTAACGTTTTTACTTTAAAATGGTGTTTCAAGATCCGTGTGTGTCGGTCACGACTATTTCGACCACATCCTTAGTATGCACGTGTAGGAATACGTTTAATAGTGCTTTTGTAATGTGTTGGAAAGGCTGGTCGAGTGAGTGGCGAGTGGCGAGTGGCTAACTGTTCTTAATTTTAGTACAGTCTCTTTGTGTGCGATGTAAGGACGCGGACGAATTTTTTGCAAATGTTACGAGTATCAAGGCTATCGTAGCCATGTCTTTAAAAATTAGAATTGTTAAATGCGATACAAATATTTTATTCAGTTGAGGATCAAAATCAGGACATCGTTTAATCGTACTACGAACTAAAGTCGATGGTACAAGGTTTGTTTGTTACCGCAATAAGATTAAACAATAGTCGTAAATGCGGACGGAGCAATAAAATCAATCTCCCTGGAAGCGTTTACTAAAACTTCAACTTGGCATACTTTCATTAAAGTCCAGATTTGAACACCATAAATTTTCGAACTAATTGGTTCATATGTAGACCGTGTACCATGGACTTACGTTGACCTTTCAACACATGTAAAATAAAAACTTCATTGCATTAATGGATCCGCTTTCAAAAATGCAATAAATAAAGCCATTTGTTATGCGATTCTGATAGACAGACAGGTTTCAAACAGTTTTCAAAACAATATATAAGATAGAAATGAAGCATGCAAGAATGCACGTGTTGCTGAATGGAGCCAACGTAAATACTGTCAGGAGTTTAATATATATTCGACTGTTATGAGACCAGAATGAAGATTTAGCAGTACCCAAGTAAACCTAAAACTGCTGTAACTCCTGGCAGCCAGGATCTACAGCAGATACAACCATTAAAACACCGGAACACTGAAGTCCAGTGCGTCCCAGATACATGAATAACTCAGAAGATATTAATAGAGGAGAAGAAGATAACGATAGTTTCTACATCCCTCAGTGAATTTAATGCAGGAGACAGAATGATAAGCCTAAAGGCACAAAAGAGACTGTGCAACTGGGAGTAGCCCAGTCGCCAAGCACCATGGAAATTTGACTTAAAACTAACTAGGTCCTATGTGTGAGATGTCATAATGAGATTTTCTTATGCGTCAAGAAGGTAGGTACTATTAAATAGATACTTAATACACACGTGTGTGTGCCCAGACATTATTTTTCAGTTGACCTTTGAGAGATGCACAGATGATAATGGTTTCAACAGCTTTGTAAATATTACACGTATCTTGGGTTATTTTAGAAACATTAATGATTACGTTCATTTATGGGAAGTATTCAGTATTGTAGACAATTTGACGATAGAATTAATCATGTTTAAGAAAGAGATACGCTGTTGATGTCGATGTTTCTTTTTCGCGATTTTTGGTTTGTGTTGTTTAATATTTGTTACATTATTAATTTTTTGTTATTTAAATAAGCCTATTTCTCTATTATTTCTTTTCATTGCCGTTTCTGCACTTTTGCGTCACCAGTATTAATTCTATTTGTGATTCATGAAATATATTAGTTGTGGTAACATTACCATTGCAAAGAAAGCTATAAAAACTGTAACATGTCGAAATAAATTAATTTAACAACGACATTCATTACTATTTATGTTCACACGCGGTGCTGCACGAATGGACTCTGATTTACACAAGTGCTTTTTGTTCTAAATCGTTAAGATTGGGTAAAGAAACACAGTTCAATGACAAAAGAAATGAGTAGAGCCATATTATGTCCAAAAGGTCAAGATTTCTGCACTTAGGGGTCTTTCAGTCGTAAACGGCGAACTTTATAGCAATTTTACTGGATTTTTGATTATCTGGCAAGATTAAAGGTAAACTACAGATAAAAGGTGCGTCGTAAAGGACGTAAATATTTATCTCCACCCGGCTGGCTGGCAAAAATGTTTCCTTGACCCATAATAAGAACACGCATTCCAGACTCGTTAGTAATTTTTTTGTTGTCGGCATGCATGACCCTGACTTGACTATTCGCAATTCACGGAACATCGACGTCGAATTTTTCCGTTTACCAATACGTTATGTTTACTTTTGTCGTGTAACGTCAGCCATGTTATGTAGGCTATTTAAATTTAGAATATTTGAATGAGGAGAAACGTCAACAGCTGATTCTGGCCAGTATTTTTCGCTTTTCGGGTGTGACGTCATAGATATAGTTCTGGCTTTAAGGTATCTTTAGTATTAGTTGTATCTTGAATAGTTTTGACGTCAAACGTATCAGTGTTGGTTGGTCGGATAGGTAAACAGTTTAAAGAGTTGCTGGATACATAAATATTGTATGAAAGTTGGTTTCTGCCGTACGTCATTATGAGGTAACTAATGTATTTTATAAACAAACTTAACGGCTATAGTTGACAATCAATCAATGTCATAACACCGATAGTTGTGTTTACATTCTAGTTTCGTGTTGTCTATACGAGAAAAGGATATCGGAAGAAAGTTATGCAAAGTTACTTTCTCATGAGTAGTTAATGTGATCCGTAATTCGATATTTGTTTAACATTAATTTATAACATGACGACTGGCTTTTATAAGAGATTCTCAATCCTAGATGATAAGTCAACTTTATTAGAAGAAAAAAAATGTTTGTTGTGATATGATTCAGAAATAAGATTAGTATTTGCAGATGTCTCAGTGGGCCTTGGCTCAACAGTTTTATAAGGAGTCAGCCAAAAGTCATAAGATTACAAAAATAAAATAAAAAAGTTATTTAAGTGTTGCCTCGTCTTATTGTTAATCATTTTCTGTGAACGCATACACTTGACACAGGGTTGCCAATTTTTATAAATAAAAAAATATCTGTGTTTGGCCAAAATTAATCTTATGTAATTAGTAGGTATGTAATAGCCTATAGTTTGTAGGATCACGAGTTAGAAGTGAAGATAGATGAATATTTGGCAATGATACTAAAGAGACAGGAAGACTAGGTAAGGCATGTAATAGACATGTCAGCACGAGGGGACGACGACCGATTTGCTGGTTGGCTGAATGGCTATTATAGGGTTGTAGACAAAAATAAAAAGATATAACCGATTCACCAAGACTGTAGTTATAAAACGAGGCAATCGCTAGGACAGGTCTTTATAAAACTGCTATTATTCAGTGAAATTTTCAATTGATACAGAAAATAGTTTCTTAACTAAGCTTTGTCTCACCTCAAAAATTTAACAATGTGACCAAAATATCCATAATCCTTGCTTAAAATAAATAAACTGCAAATTATTTATCGAAAACCAGCAACCCTATTACAGTTTGATAGAATGGCGTCGCGTGGCCGTGCGCCAACTATGCGCCGTAACATCTGACGCTGTTTGACGCCACGACTCATTCTGTATCTGTGGAGTAGCCGTCGCCATTTACGGGTTACACTTTGGCGCGCTTTTATATCAGGATATGCGTCATAGAGGAAGACAAAGACGGTATTCAAGATAAGTTAATTGGAGGGTTCGGATTCGAAATTCAAGATAGGGAGGCCATTTAAACTGGTTGAGTGTTTAATCCTTTTTATTGTATCCTTTTTTGAATTTTTATTTTTAATTGATTGTTTTTTTTAGACGAGCGTAGTATTTGTAGAATGATGAGTATTCTTTTTGAAATTAGATTTGTTTTAAGATTGAACAATTGTTGCTTATAAGTTGCATATACTTAGGAACAAACATTGGTGAATAAATTTCTATTGTTTATCTTGTCTAGCAATCGCGAGCGTGAACTTTACAGATATTCCTTAGAAATTTAAAAAGTAAGGCTTTTTAAAAAACGAATGATGACTAACGCCTGTTGCAGCAATTCCAGTGTTCACATTGACCGCAGAACATGGCACATAAGATAATAAAACCGTCTCGTATTTACTTAACTGTACATTTGTGTTACTTTCCAATAGCAAAGCAATACACAGTTTCTTGTGACTCATCATTTGTCTGACTTTCACCTTTTTGACATGTCACTGATCTGATTTACGTGTATGCACACAAAAAGGTTATGTACACACAAACTCAAATGTCTATCTCAAACGAAAGCATTTTGACATATGTTTTCCTGTTATTTAAGCCTGTGATTTCACTTGGAAGCCATTTTGGGAACGCCAAAGTGATTTGCATCAATTATGAAACTATGTTCTTAGTCATAAAATCTATTAAAATAACATCAAAATTGAATTACGACGATCATCTTGCTAGCCAATGAGGTGGATCAAATTTAGTTATTATGTATCACAATGACGTCACAGTATAAGAGTGAAAATTCCATAATTAATGTGCAATGGGCGGTGTTGCACCTGTCAGCACACTCAAGCTGTCAACGACTGACCTAATTACACCTGGATTATTCACAATTACTAATTATAGATTGCGTCCAGTAGAGAACGAAAGACCGCTATTAAAAATCCCAATTATAGGCGATGATGGCCAAACAAGAGTGAGGCTTTTTGACGTTGTGTTTATAAAATATCCATTGACAGTCAAGTTTGCAATCGTGCGTCTGTAGGTATAAAATTTTGCCAAAAGAAGAGTGCATATTTTTGGGTACATTAGCAAACCTTTCAAAATGTCAAAACAAAGAGAGTGCGAACAGATGGTTACAAATTGACGAATCGGGAAATGACGAAAAACGAGAAGCAAGACATAATGCAGAGTAAAGTACAGTAACAGTGATAAATGAAAACAAATGGCCTAGAATTCCGGCATGTCAAAATTACGGACGTCTTTAACCTACATCGTTAGGTGTAAGACATAACCTGATATTGTCCAGCTTTTGCAACAGTGACTCATGCATGGAGCACGAAGCTACTGTTTGAATGAATGCAAATCGAAATGCAACGAGAATGTTTGTGCAAACGAATCTCCACCTACATGTGTAATGATAAATATCCATCACAAAAATAAATTCCTGTAGCAAGCTATTTGGACGGCGCACGATACAAATAAATTAATGACGGAAACTACGAAATACTGACTCCATCTCTAGTTTTTCCGCAAATTCGTGTCGTGTGACTGTGTACTGTGACTCTCTGATTAGTTCGTTATTTTAGTTCTGCATTTATTTAAAAGAAAGGTCATTGAATTAAATTAAATACACACGCATGTTGGATCCCACGTTTTGAAGCTACCGTGGGTAGATTTCTTGGCATTGTTGACTTTCAAATTAGCTACGATATTATTAAAGAGTAATTGAATATGAAAATTGTTTCATATCCGCTCAACACTTCTAGCAATCAAGATTTTGCAGCTATCATTTGCTACAGAAGTGTCTCTTGGACATTCTTGTTTTATCATGAGTGCATCAAGTGCATTGGTACTTACAGTTCGAGGACCACACACATGTATTTCCCCCATTCGTAAGCATCATACAGCTGTATAAGCCTCGGGTGTCGCAGTCTCCTCATCACGTCCACTTCACGTTCCACGTTCCGTCTCTCATCTCTTCTGCTGACGGACACAAGTTTGGCAGCAAGTTCCAGTCCTGTGCTTCTCTCGCGACAGAGGTATACTGTTCCAAATTTGCCCCTGGAAAGAAGCAAAAACATCGGTTAACTTAATTAAAGGAATACGTATAAGAGAAAAGGACCATATTAGAGGGTTTTAAATATTTGATTTTCATTCAATCATTCGAGAAATGGGCATGATTGTGTAATAAATGATACATAAACTAAACAGTAGGTCAAAATGAATCTTGAAATCCAAATAGATGAGATTAAACATAAAAAACATCTCACAAAGCCGTAAAAAAGATTTATGAAAGAAATGATACCCACAAAGTGCTCCTAATAGGTTCGAATGTTAGGGAATAAATTATTGACATGTAGTCGGTACATCTTTTAACAAAGGAAACCATTATATAATAGAAACCCTTTTAGACGAAAAAATACTGCGTAACTAACATCGTCTATCCATTTCTTGAATTCTGGTAGTAAAGAGACAGACGGGTTATTTTTCTAGACAGTCTATGAAAAGGTGCTGATTTTCTTTGGTTTGTGAGGGTATAGTTTATGTGCTGAGGTCTGTGTAAAGAGGGTAATGACAATTTTAATGTAGCTCAATCAATTCATTTTCATAGCATTAGATAGCTTACAACCTTGTTCAAATTAAAAACGCGTATCTACCTAATTATGTTCGAATTTAAAATCCTTACAGAATAAAGTTTGTAGTATCTAATTATAGGGCAATTACGCATGGTAGCTACTGGCATTGTCTTGTTATAAATGTGCCATGCTCCAAAATAACAAGGTATTTAAATTATTAGTAGATAATTTCTGAGAAAATTACAGCCATTGGACACTTGCTCTATTTACGATGTAGATTTACGATTAACACCGAATAGATAGAACATTGGTTCACGATAGTAAATTACTTTTAAGAGCAAGCCTGTCTTCTAAATCTTTAATGATTAACTGATTACTAATAAATCATTCCAAACTAATTAAAATATAAAATAATAAAGAGCTAGGGAACAATAACGAATTAATAATTCTATAAATAATTCTATAATAGAATCTTCTTTCACAATACAAATGTTCAAAACCACTTCAAAAACAAAGCTATTGTGTCACGAACCGATTATCTTCAAGCTATGAGATTCAAGATGAAGTCAAATCGGATTTGTAAACAAATTGGGATAATACTTGAGACATCCATTGTTATTTATATGTACTTTCTACTTACTAACATATGAATTGACATATCTGTTACAATAGCGATAGCTTATCGTGGTAATCACTGTTTAAACATTTGACGTGTGTTAAACAAACACTTACTGCAAGTAAAAGTGTAATGGCGGACTCACCTGCCGATCTCGGACAGCATTTCGTAAAATTCATTGACATCTGTACTCCTTTTAATGCTGACATCTCGACAGGGAAAAGGTGGTTCGATTTCTGTAAAAGAATAACATTTGAATTGTTAGTTTATTGGTTTAATTTTAAGTGTTTTTGAGCACAAAAGGTGAATATCTATGAAGGGTTCCTTAGGGACGATATTGGGGCCAATAGTTTTGACCAAAATGAATGAAAATGTCTTCATTAGAGATGCTGTTGATCTGACGGTTGGTCATTTAAATTTTCAAATTCAAATTATTTATTTGCAGGTCAGAATTATTGTTTTGCAGGTCTACATTCGATTCTGAGGGAGAAAAATTGACATTCCTGGTAGTTAAACCATAAACTAGGTAAAAGTTCTTGTTGCAAAAGAAATTCTGAAAGGTTTACAATCTTATACTATCATATAAAGCTGAAAAGTTTGTGTGTATATTTGAACGCGCCGATCTCTGGAACTACTGGTCCAATTTGAATAATTATTTTTGTGTTGGATACTCTGTATTTATCGAGGAAGGCTATAGTCTACAAAATATCATGTTATGACCAATAGGAGGTAGCTAGTGAAATCGTAGCTGTTCCCGCACAACAGCTAGTAAGTTATATATGTTAGACTATATGTCACTTATGTCAGACTCCCACATGCATAGCTCTCATGGTAATGGTAATCACTAATCAACTAATGGTCTATCACCTTATTGAACCTGATTGTCACGGATGATTACCGATATTAATCGTAATCTAGATTACTAATCTCATAGTGTAATACTAGTGACATGACTTCACGTGGTCCACTGACCTTTTTAACTTCTTATCTTAATTGCACACGTGGCTTATCACACGTCGACGAGAACTTCATCACGTTTAAGTCACCTTTAGATGGTACATGTTTTATAGTATTGTATGTATTGTATGCTGTTGGTCAATCACAGATGCGATTGCCTTATCGAAGTACTTACATATAACATGATATAAGATCATGCCTTTTATCCTCGAAGGGGTAGGCAGAGGTGCACATTACGGTACTTAATGCCACTGTACAGTGTAACACCCACTTTTCACTATTTATGTTATGAGTTCCATGTAATAGGAGGTAAGGGTATTGCCATATACCGGGCACAATTCCAAACTCTGTACTACTATACTTTATCGAAGTACTTATCTTACTCTGTTTAATTTGAGGCAGATAGTGTTATTTGGTTTTTTGGTGTACATGGTGGTAATCGAGCAGACTGATCACCTGATGGTAAGCATTCGGTGCGGCTCATGTTCATTCGCAACGCCAAAGGAAGCACAAGTGCGTTACTGGCCTTTTGTTGGGTGTTTGAGAATTGGAGACATTGTCGTTTCAAAATGTTCATTATTAACACGACCATTTTTTTTTTGCGATTAGGTATTTCCTTATTACAACAGATATGATGTTAGGTACCATTTATAAGTTTTAATTGGATAGGGTGGTGCTATTACCTATATCGTATTTTCCTTCCGATCTTTAATATATTGTAGTTTGCATTACCTATTTTTTACTGGTTTTTCATAATAGGTACGATGGTATTTGTGAGTCCATTTTATTTTTTTACATTATGTTTATTTTGGTATCATTAAGGATTTGTAACGAAATGGGAACATATTGATGAGATTAAAGATTTTCACGGTAATGCCGTTTGGAAGGAAAGCGCCTCAAAATATGGGGTTTTCACAACAGGATATTTGGGAAAAAATCTTTACAAACGACAGTTGAAGTATTGAAATAACACTGCTAGTAGCAGTACTAAATAATACTATTATACTAAAATAGCAGTATTTTCGGATGTTCCGCTAATTTTCATTAAAATGTAATTTCTATACCTAAAACAGACTCTATTATTATCCATAGCATTGATACCAACACGCTAACCGAAATGGCGGTAAAATAATACGTTAATAACTAATCAACAATTAAAACGAAACTACATTCGAACATTATGAATTAGGTATAAAAATATAAGCGTAGGTGATAATACTGATAATTTTCCGTTGTTATTGTAATTATACGTACTTTCAGATATGGTACACAGTATCTAATTAAAGTGATTAGACATCGTACCGCCGGTTGATAACGCGATAAAAAATGCAACTAAAGTACGTATGAAACGTATCAGCTATCGTTTTGACAGAGCGTATATTAGGCTATTATAACATTGTTATATTTCAAGGTTTCTTCCTTATTATTTTTTAGTCTATTTATGTATTAACACTAGAAAGACGGAAAAAATCATCTACCTACAAAGACGGCGAGCGGTCAAATGACTGCTCCAAGTTTTTTGATATTTTTTTTATGTTTAAGTGCTAGAAATGGTACCTATAGTATTAAACATGATATAATATACTGTTAATTAAGTAATATGTGTAGAATTTCTAATTTTATCATTTTGTTTACATTACAAAAGCCGCAAAATGGTTTTTTGCAATTGTCGCATTCTTTATGGTTTTTGTATTTGCATTTGTGTATATAATATTTTGGAATTTACTGGATTTCGTGCAGAAGATTGTGAAGTAAAAGATCTAGACTATTCAGGCAAGGATTCAGTTTCAGAGAGTCTTCTTCAATTTATACTTTGCTTCTAAGTTCGCCCCCTGAACTTAGTATAAATAATAGCCTTTGTTTCATGTAATATTCTACATTTTCCTATACCAAATGAAGGAAATATATCTAAAAAGGAAAATTATCTTAATTATGTTATATCTTTGCTAGGTCTCAAATATGAAAAAAAATGTATTTCACCTTTGAGATGCTCGTAACATTTTGACCAGTATTTGCAAAAAGTTTCACAACGGATTCATCCACATATGATCACTTAGAGTAGATGCCATTTGAGGTGTTTACAAGATACAGTCGATAGTTGTGAAAAGACCTTGATGCTCAGGATCTTCTAAACTCCTTTCACAGCATTTATCACTACCACAGCAACGACTACAACCACGAGAACCCGATCTGTCAACGTCTGATAAATTTGCTCGAAGTATCTGGTCTTTCAGGTCACTTCCGTCCGTAGAGGAATTCGAACTGACAAGTAGTACCACATAATCGTCGTCGCTATCACGTTTAGTATTTTTAGAGTCAAAATCAGACTCATCTTCACAAATATTTTGGAAGTAACAAACATTTTTTCATTTTCAAGACTCCAACACGTTGCGACCACAAACTACTTTCAATAATTTCGTAAAAGTTCACAGGCACTTGAAAGATACGGTCTCATTTGATAAACAAACTATAAACAATGAATTAGTGTATATAATTTGTATTCTACCCTCTCATATTACACTTATAAACACTCATTGCTTGTCAGCAGTCAAATGACTGCCGCCGTCTTTGTCGGTAGATCAAGATTTTAAATAATAAATAAAAGAGTTGTGATTTATTTTCATACATAGTTGCATTTAACTAGTAAAATAAATAAAAGTCACAAAGTCTCAGTTTAAAAACTCAAATAGATTTCAAGTTATTCAACATTTAAAATCAAATTGCGGTCAAATGACTGCTCCCGTCTTTCTAGTGTTAAACTTTTGAGCGCCAATGTCACATATACTGCTCACTGACTGCCTCTTTGGCCGAATGGTAGTAAGTGCGACTGCCGGGCAAGGGGTCTCGGGTTCGATTCCCGGGTCGGGCAAAGTTTTACTGGGTTTTTAAATATTCTCAGTAGTAGCACGGAGTCTGGAATTGTGCCCGGTACATGGCAATAGGCTCACCCCCTATTACATGGGACTCATAACATAAATAGTGAAAAGTGGGTGTTACATTGCACAGTGATATAATGTGCACCTCTGCCTACCCTTTCGGGGATAAAAGGCGTGATGTTATGTTATGTTGGCACATATACGTGACAAGCGAAAACTGTCCCTGGACACCAACGACACAAAACATGACAGAAACAGCGGAACAGGAAACACGAAAACAACAATTTGATTCCCTATTGGAATCCCTATTTCTTTCGTAGAAAGCGTGGAATTTGTGGCTTGCCGTTGAGGGCAGGTTCATGTGTTTTTGCTCCGGCGCGGCGTTCGAAGGGTTAACCAAGAATTGTCATCATCATGAACAACCTGACAGTCTTCTTGTGTTCTTGCTCTAGCGTTTAAGAGGTTAACCAAGGTTTGTCATCATCATGAACAGCGTGACAGTCTTCTTCTGGCCCATAAGGATCTTCTACGTAAGAGTGTTTCTCTTCTATAATTTCCACACGCCTATCAGGCGTATTGAAACTTGAAGATCACAGTTTAAAAGGTTCCTTACAATCAGAGATCGGTTTATCTCGATCTTTATCAAAGCAGCTAAGTTATTCTGTAACGCTACATTGAAAGACCGAAGTGAATTCGCGGTCGATGTCGATTGGTTGTGAGAATAATCTCTAAGACAATGCATCCAAGATTGAAATTGACTGTTACAGAATAAGACAGCAGTCCCTTAGTCTGCTTTTACATTTGCTAGAAGATCACGGTATAAAATGTATTCTACTCTGCTGCCGATTTTAATCATTATAATTTCGTAAATATACTGAGAAAAGCTGTACTAGTTTCGAGACACAAAGGGACTACAACTGACTGGTTTAATTAACTCAGCATGTTTGAAATAAAATGAAAACGTTTTTTCTCATTGTAATTTGTTATTTATTATATTAGGTGATCGTGTTCGGATATTCCTATTAAGCAAGATGTGCTTATGTTAGGTTAGGTTTCATGGTAGCTATTATGAAAACATTATAATATCGATTATTTAGTCCTTCGCGTAAGTACTCCTAGTATTTAAACCTAGACTGTACAAACAGATGTGTCGTCGCAGGTATTCAGGTGTTTTATATTCCTAAAAGGCTACAACTATACTCGTCACTATGTTAGTCACGTCAATGAATATTTTACATGGAGAAACGGGATCCGAGCCTTCCCACCTTGTTAACAACACTTTTATACGTTGTTGTAAGTTAAAACCTTCATAATTTTGTGGCCAAATATGTCATGTAAAACACAAATGAATCAATAAAGCAATAAGTATCTATCCTTACTTATATTATAAATCGGAAAGTGAG